GATTTGACCCAGATTTGGAGAGAATACAGAGAATAGTGTACAAATTGTCTAGTATAAATTTCATTAAATTCTATTTTACAATTTAAATTATGGTTGATAAATATTCAGGACGCTGTCGTTATATATTTTTTTTATTTGTGCCGACGCTTATAATGATTGGGTCCTGAATATTTATCACCCATAATATGTAGAACAGTCGACTAGCTTCCTTCAATAAAAATTTTAATTAATATAAATAATTGTTGAACATATAATAGCTGTGAAATGTAGGAGGCATTGAAAATATGGAAACGTTAAATTAGTATAAATTAGTAGTACCTATATTTTTATGAGGTTAGTTTTACATGATTTTAGACTATTTAAAAAATTTAATTTAAACTGTATTGTTTTGTCTATTTCATATTTGTTTCTATTAAATATCAACCAGGTGTTTGTAGTCTCGATTTCTCTTACAATTTTTTTTTTTTTTTTATTTCTTTAAGACATTTACAACTGTATTACATAAATATATCAAGTAAATTTGGACATAATTGATATAATGACATGAATACACTTGCTGAGTAACTACCCAATGGTAGCACTCTAATGATATGACTTCATTAGGAGATCACGGGGCCATCTTCTTTTCAGACGCCTCGGAGGGTTATCAGGAATTGAAGAGGAAGCAAGGTTAGAAACGAGAGGGTTGGGATGATTCTGAAGTTTATTATGGAAGGATAGGTATCTGGATTGGGCCAGATCTGAAACATAAGCAACATTAAGATCTTTATGGATAATTTTATTAGTGACAAAGTAAGGAGCATTGAGGATTTAACGAAGGATTTTGGATTGTAAGGATTGGATGCGAGAGGAATTCGATGGTTTAGTGGAGCCCCATAGCTCAACTCCGTAAGTCCAAATTGGTCTTATTATAGTCAAGTATATGAGTCTTTTGTAATTAATGGGAAGTTTAGAGCGTTTGTCTAGTAAGTGCTGAAGTAATCGGAAACGTCGAGCGGTTTCTTGTCGTTTCAGTCTAGTATGAGGATTCCAAGTTAGTCGTTTGTCCAAATGGAGTCCTAGGTATCGGATTTGCTCAACAGGGATAAGTGGAGTATTGTTAAAGGAAACTGTAGGACAGGAAGTCGTTGGTTTACGACCTTACAAATTTTAAGATAGCAAGGGGTCAGCTTTTTGAATTAGTTATTGTTGAAGGGGAAGATGGTGTCAATCAATTTTAGGTATGCATGGCCCTTCTTTTCATGTAATGTGTAAACGTCAGTCAAATTCTTATATTCCATCTTAAATTAGTTTTGTTCTGATATTTCAGAATAAATAATACACGAAAATCATATTAAAATAATTTGGCTGTCCGCTGTACGCCGCTAAATGGAAGACGGAAAAAAACAATTTTTGGAGCTATTTGAAAAATAATTTTCTTATCGTTAATGATAAATAGATTAATCGCCTAAGATATTTTCCTGATTAGATCGTAGTCGAGCCTTCCAAATCCGACCATGGAATAATGTTTGAATTACAATGAAAATTGTTCGACATTATTATTATTATTTTCACTCACATTTTGTAAGTTTGGTGCGATTTCGTTTTATTATTAAGAACAGCTATTCAAACCATACACTGTGTGACAAAAGAAATGACTTATTTTTATTTCCAAGTCCACAATATTATTTTGAAAAAGTACTGAAATAAATATTAAAAAAAAAATTGTTGGTCCTGATCATTTTATCGCAGCCAGCCGCAGGTCTAACATCTATTTCTTTATCAAGACTAGAATCCTAAAAAAAAATTAATACAGATTCCAGCTACGTTCACCTGCGTCTGTAATTTAAGCGTAATTTAATCTTGTAAATTGAATTAAAGTTATTAGTTTATTTTTTAACTAATGTCTATTTGAAATGAAAAGGTATATTTTTATTGTTATGTATATCATTATGTGTAATGTAATTAGTCATTGAGCCCTAAAATTGTCAATTAATTAAAAAAAAAGAATTGGTTAAGCTTTATTTATTCGCATTAAAAACCAAAATGTTATCGTATATTTTTATATGATAAATAAATTGCTATGTCTTAATATTTTATTTAAAATCTTCTCTCATATATTATTATATGTTAAAAAAATTATAAATAAAACAAAAATTAAATTAAAAAAAATGTTTCTTCACATTCTATTTATTTTGGATAAAAATGAGGAACTCCGTCGTATTCGTATTATGTGGTATATAAGTAAGTAAATATTTAATTAATTTAAATTTTTAAATTATTAGTTGTTAAACAATAATTTCATAGAATGATTTTTTGGTATTTGGTAACACGAAATAACACTCTCAACCTCTCATCACTCAAAATCATGATAGTACTTTTATTTATTTAAAAAAAAAAGATAAAAAATTCAATTATTTTTAAAGAATAGACATCTCATAGTCTCACATACTACTTTAATCGTAAAAACTTTTTAAAGCACAATATTACCTCGCTTATCCGTCCTAGTTGGAATCGAGACCTGATCGGTTAAAATAAAATCTGATCCTTTTATTCTAGTGTTTAACAGAAAACTCTAATATTTGGTAATCTTTTTTTTACTTTTGTTATTGGAATTTACAACTGTATTACATGGAAAATACAATAAGTAAATGTGACATTGGTAACATGAAGAGAAACTACCCATTGGTAGAACTCAAATTAAAGTTCTATATTAGAAGATCCCGAGGCCATCTTCTTTTCAGACGCCTCGGAGGTTTATCAGGGATCGAGGAGGAAGCAAGGTTTGAAACGAGAGGATTCGGATGGTTCTGCAGTTTGTTATGGAAGGATAGGTATCTGGATTGGGCCAAATCGGAAAAATATGGAACATTAAGGTCTTTATGGGTGATTTTATTTGTGACAAAGTAAGGAGCGTTCAGGATTTTACGAAAGATTTTGGATTGTAAGGATTGGATACGAGAGGAATTCGATGGTTTAGTGGAGCCCCAAAGCTCAATTCCTTAAGTCCAAATAGGTCTTATTATTGTCATATATATGGGTCGTTTATAATTGATTGAAAGTTTAGAGCGTTTGTCTAGTAAGTGGTGCAGTAGTCGAAAACGTCGGGAGGTTTCTAATCGTTTCAGTCTGGTATGGAGGTTCCATGTGAGTCGTTTGTTAAGGTGGAATCCTAAGTATCGGATTTGATCGACAGGGATAAGAGGGCTGTTGTTGAAGGATACTGTAGGACAGGAAGTCATAAGTTTACGGCGAAGAGTGAAGGTAATTTGTTGGGATTTATTGGAATTTATTTTAATCCACCAGTTTTGAAACCATTTTTCAAGACTTGTGATGTGTGATTGAAGAGTTTGGGATGCAATAGATGGATCGTTATTAACTGATAGGATACACGTGTCATCGGCATAGGTGGTGATGACAGTGTTGGATTGGGTTATGATGTCAGCTGTATAAACTGTGTAAAGGATAGGACCTAGGATACTACCTTGAGGAACACCGGCAGACTGAGTAAAAAGAGATGAAGGAGTTGGTAAAAATTAAAACTAAAAGTGTCTGCAAAAATTAATTTATAGCTTGCAGGTGTATTAAGTGTGTTTGCCGAGAAGGGGGTTTCATGGCGCAAGTTGCGACATCAAAATTTTTGAGGGCTACTTATTTTGACAGGTTTTTGAATTTTTGAGGTGGGAAAATTTCGGCAGTGTTATGAATTTTCGGGCTATGGGACAAACGGAAAACATGAAACCGCAGCAAGTGTAGTTGTGTATGATCTACGATTTTTCTAATTCTCCTTAGTTTGCATTGTTTTTAAGAAAAGGTGGCTAATAAAATTTGAGAGGAGGGGGAAAGTAGGTTCTTGATCATCGACCTTAGGGGAGAGGGATGGGCACTCCTACTATCAGTTAATCCGGAGAGCCGCTCAAGCTGGGTCCTACTGTATATATTTTTTTAGAAAATTTAGTTGTGATTAAGATAGTATCAAAACTATTTTTCTGTGACTAACATATTGGAATTTTCAGGTTTTTCCTCCCGAAAAATTTCGATTTTCAAGCATTGTGGGCCTTCCCCGAGGAATCAGGCTGAGGTCTCCCGACGATTATCCTCCTAACTCAATATCACTTTCATTTCAAGATGACGGCCAAAAAATTGTTTTGGTATTGACTGCAGTACCTAAACCAATTTACCAATTTCAATGAAACTTGGTTTAAGTCTTCTCCTGGATGCCCTTTAAATATATGTATAGAGCATACTTCACCGAAAAGTACTTCCCTTTTAAGATGGCAGCCGATGGTATGGTGGTATGGACTGCAGCGCCTGAACGGATGTGTTGATTTCAATAAAACTTGACTAATGCCTTCTCTTTCGAAACCCTTAATATTTATCTACATAACATACTTCAATGAAAGCAAGTAGGAAAAAGGTTACGAGGGGTGGTAAAATTAGATTTCAGAATAACTAAAAAACGTTTTGATGATTTTTGTATTTAGATGTTTCACAGATATTTAGATATCCTAAAAAAATGTCAAACCTTTCATCGAAATCAGAGCTCTATTATGAAAGATATCGAGGTTTTTAAATATGTTTGGTTTATTGTTTTCAATAATGAACCATTGTAATCGACCAAAACTACAAAAACTTAACCCGTCTCAAAATTTGAGGTTTTACGTTTCAGTATAACTCGAAAATGAAAAAAAAAGTGTTTATCCGCCGTCCGCTGCTTTTCTCCGCGACTACTGGACCGATTTTTTCGGATTTGGAGTAAACGTTAGAGGTTACCCGACGATTATTTTAATACCTTACAAGATTGCGGCCGAAAAACCTGTGTTGGTATATATTTTAGCGTCTAAAGGAATTTAATGATTTTTTTAATTATAATTAATTCGCTGTTCTTGATTCATAGGCACACTCCTCCTTTGCCACAATTTTTCCTGAATGCAAGTTCATCTGCCAATTTATTAGCTAGCAAACATTCTATAAAACATTGTATATGGGCAGGCCTTTGGAGCATCTCTAGGGTATCGAGCTCAATCGGGGAAGGCGGAGGATCGAGGTAGGTGATGATGGAAGAAGCGAACGATGAGGAAATGGAGGGGGGCGGAAGGGAGATAGGCGGGTAAGGCTAGGACGACACAGTGAATGCTGGTAGTGGAGTTGGTGTTGATTCTGGCGGCTATTCCGGTTTGACGGTGACTGGTGTTGGACCTCTGCTTTTCGTCATTGGTGGTTTGATAATGTCCTTCGGCTTTTTGATTTGCAGTTGCAGTTGCAATTGCTGTATCAGGTTGAGCTGCATCATCTGTTGGTGTTGAAGCTGGTAAAGGATGGATTGAAGCACAGCCAGTTCTTGTAGTGCTGCTGGATTATCGACATATTTATCATTGTTTGCCATAGCTGTAGTAGTGAATTAGGCTACAGCTAATTTGATATTCTGCAGAAGTGTGACGTATCCGGACTACCAAACGGGAATACCATTTGCTCTTCTTCTTTCAAGCTGTTATTGTTTTCAGCATCTCGACGACTTGCTTCGTCCGTCTTCCCACCATCTTCGCCCAAAAAGCATAGCTTACAGTGTTCTGCCAGCTCTAGATATCGTCTAAATTCGGCATCGCACTGTGTGCAAACTGGTCCGACTGCTTCGCCAGAAATTGTTTCCTTGTTAGAACCAGAACCGCTCTGACCTGTAAAATAATTTTAACGTTTTATTTTTCAATATGGACAACTAATCAAATATATTAATAAATTTATTCTATTTGTTACTAATTTAATTTTTATTCTAACGATAATGTAAATCTTTTCTTTTTTTCTTTTCATGAAAAATGATATTAGATCTTGATAAATAACACATTTTTAACTGTTTGTTGTTATTAAATAACAATTGTGGAACTCTTTCAGATTTTTGTATTCGCTGATGAACAAAACGGGAAGTCAAATGCAAGAATATTGTGGGATTATTTTTCGTATACGACTTCTCTCTAAGATTTTATTCGCAACCAAAAAAATATCGAGCTTGAGATATAGATAAATGTGTAACCAATGAAAATGGTGAGGAAGCTAAACTGGCTACACTGGTTTCTTTGATAATATTTACAAAAAAATATACAGAATAATATTTACAACAAAATGTACAGCCAACTTTATTCATTAAATAAGGTAAGTTTTGGAGGCCGAAAGAGTATGATTTTGGAGTGATAAACAATTTTTATTTGGTCGGATTTGTTTATTAGACTGTTGAAGTGAGATGTGAGTGAAATATATAAAAAAAAAATTGTTATAGGCTTCATCATAACCATATTCGATATATAGAAAAGACCAGCCCAACTCCATAAAAGAGTGCTGCGTAGAATCCTACTGGTAGCAGTAATAGCGAGGCAGCCAATCTGTGGTTCCATTAGGGCGAGGTGATTGTCTGCCCTGCGGTCGGATATTTATGTCAGGGGCAAGTTTGCGGCCCTAACTGCCGCCCTCCATCCGCTGATGAAGTCCCGTCACTGCAGCCACGTGGGTCTTGTGAGTTCTGACCAATGGTACTTCCCAGTCATCTCGAGATTGGGGAAGAAACTTTTCTTAGTCCTCTGTAAGTGGGCTAAAGTGTACCAGAGCTAAAGTGGGAACGCTTTCTACTCAAATTTAGGTGACCCGTTATTTAGAATATTTCCTATAAGGCAAAAAATGTGAGACGAGAAAATTTGTTTGTAATAATAATAAAAGGCTTAGCGAACCCTAAGGATCGATGCCAACACCAAAGTCCAAACCCAGTCCTTTCAGGTCGGCTTTAACGCCGAATATTATGTGATGAATATTATACAGTTTCTGGCGGTCAATAGAATCGTAAGCCTTTTTGAAATCGATATACAGCTTGTGAACAACACTAGCGTTGTACTCGATTTGTTTTTTGCAATATTTGTCGTAAAGAAAATAATTGATCAATAGTCGAACGATTCCGTCTAAATCCACATTGGTAGTCTACGATAATTTCTTCGGCGTATTCTGTGATTCGACTTGTTCAGATTAAAGTGAATATTTTATAACATACCAGAAGGAGTGAAATACCTCGATAGTTATCACAATCCTTCCTCGGACCCATTTTGTGGATCGGAATAAAAATAGATTATTTCCTTTCTTCAAGTAATTTCTCATTCTCCCAGATCTTTGTAACCAACAAATGTATTTTAGAAACTCCAGCTTCCCCGTATGCTTTACTTCAACTTCCTCTTTACTCTGTTCGTCTATCAACGGTTAGGGGTGGTTAGGGCACTCTGTTACTCAGATGGAGGACACAGATAATAATTTCCGGTATTTAAAATACTGTCAAAGTGGTTCTTAAACTTATTTAATTTTGTCTAAGTTTCTATTTAAATTATTTTATTTTTAAGATACTTTTTTTTTTTTTTTTTTTGAGCAATTTTGTCGTTTCATTCTTCGGGGTTCGGATGTATTCCAGATTGTCTTCGCTAAGATTATTTAGAGCTTTTAATTTTGAGACTTTTCTTTTTTCGCATATGTTTAAGCAATCTTCATCAAACCACGGTTTGTTATTCTTATTTTTCCTTTTTTACTAGACACGATTTATCGAACGCTTTAATATTATCCCTGATCTCTACCCATAACTTGTCAATATCTTCAGAAGGTTCTATGGCTTCAAACCTATTCTTAACATCTAGCTCGAATTGAGTTGTAATTGATGGATTTTTTAATTTTTCCAAATTAAAATTCTCGAAATTGAAATAGTTTTCTTTTCTGTTTTTTTATATTAAGTTTTTGTCAAAGTTTCGCGTTTTATACTAAAGTCAAAGTTATACTATAAGTTCATGATCTCACCCACATCCTGCTCCGCGATAAGACCGTACATTAATTATACTGCTTTGCCAGTTATGTTGTATCAAAACATGATCGATTTGATTTCTTGTTTGCGAATCCGGTGATGTCCAAGTATATTTATGAATATCCTTATGTTTAAACGTCGTACTTTTAATTATTAGGTTTTTAGAGATGGCAAAGTTTATCAGGCGGATCCCTTTATCATTACTATAGCATTTCCAAGTCAATTTCAATCTTTTCCAAATCAAATTCAACCTTTTCCAAGTCAAATTAAACCTTTTCCATTTCAAATTCAACCTTTTCCAAGTCAAATTCAACCTTTTCCATTTCAAATTCAACTTTAGATTTTTTGTCAATTTTCGAAATGACAAAATATTATCGAAGGCATAGCTTTTGAAAAATACAAAAAAAAAAAAAAAAATTGATAACGCGGTTGCATATATATTTATTCTAACATTTTAGATTTTATCAGTGTGATATTTCTGTCATATTCAATTATTTCCAAGTCAAATTCAACCTTTTCCAAGTCAAATTCAATCTTTTCCAGATCAAATTAAACTTTTTCCAAGTCAAATTCAACCATTTCCATTTCAAATTAAACCTTTTCCAATTCAAATTCAACCGTTTTCATTTCAAATTAATGTTTTAATTTTTTGTAATTTTATATTTTTTTTAAATAATGGCCATCCCTCCCCCCTCTCCAATATGACAGTCTATTATTATCGCTCTCCTAAGTAGAATTTTCACTTACGGATATCGATTTATTGTACATATTCGGATTTATTAGGGACTAGTATTATGCTGTCCTGTACCTAGTTTTTAAAATAACCTCCATTTTAAGATTACGCCACTGCGTTTAGACTTATTTAAGTTTTTTTGATGTATTCGATACAAGGGTGTATTCTTATGTTTTCCAAGCCGTAAATTATGAAAATAAGCTCCATTTTATGATCAGGCCACAAAGTTTTGACTTATTGAAGTTTTTCGAATTTATCCAATATAAAGGTCTACTTTACTGTTTCTTGAGCCGTAGATTTTGAAAATGACCTCCATTTTAAGATTAGGCCACTGTGTTCCGATTTCTTTAAATGTTACGAATTTTTATCATAAAAGAGTGTATTCTTATGTTTCCGGAGTCGTAGATTTTGAAAATGACCTCCATTTTAAGATTACGTCACTGCGTTTCGACTTATTCAAGTTTTTCGAATTTATCCAATTTAAAGGTCTACTTTTCGATCTAAGATTTAGGTCTAAGATTTCGAACAATTAGCTGAAAAATCTGAATACGGTCGGTTAAATTTATTACCAGTGGCTTTTCGGCTTTTTAGTTTGTATTCTGTGGTTAATTTAACTTTAGCTTCATAATATTTATTTATTTATTTATTCATACTCGAAAACATATTGATGAAACTTTGTATTAAAAAACCCCGAAATGAAGCCTAATTAATCGAGATGCAACGGCTTAATCATAAAATGAAGCTTAAATATTAGATAAATTTAAATATTAAAGATTAGAAAAATTTCAATACGTCCCCGATAACATATAAGCAGATCCTTATACCGAAAAAGAAAAAAAAAATGGGGGAAATCTACTGCTCCAGAAACATAAAATTAGACGTTTATACTTGTTAAATTCTAAAAACTTAAATAAGTTGAAACGCAGTGGCTTAATCATAAAATAGGGGTCATTTTCCGAATCTGCGGTTCCGAAAACATAAAAGTATACCTTTAAATTGGATAAATTCGAAAAACTTAAATAAGTCAAAATGCAATGGCGTAATCATGAAATGGAGATGATTTTCAAAATCTACCGCGCTGGAAACATAAAAGTAGACCTTTAAATTGGATAAATTTGAAAAAATTAAATAAATTAACACGCAGAGGATTAATCATAAAATGGAGATCATTTTCAAAATCTACGGCTCAAGAAACATAAAAGTAGACCTTTATATTGGATAAATTCGAAAAACTTAAATAAATCAAAACGCAGAGGATTAATCATAAAATGGAGGTCATTTTCAAAATCTATGGCTCAAGAAACATAAAAGTAGACCTTTATATTGGATAAATTCGAAAAACTTAAATAAATCAAAACGCAGAGGATTAATCATAAAATGGAGGTCATTTTCAAAATTTACGGCTCAAGAAACATAAAAGTAGACCTTTATATTGGATAAATTCGAAAAACTTAAATAAGTCAAAACAAAGTGGCATAAACATAAAATTGATGTCATTTTCAAAATTTACGGACCGGGAAACATAAAAATACACCCTTATATCCAATAAATCAAAAATACTTAAATAATTCGAAACGCAGTCACGTAATCTTAAAATGGAGGTTATTTTCAAAAACTACTCATACGATAACAGACCCACACATTGAAAAATTAAAGATAATTAAATAAATAAAAAAAGGTTGAATTTGAAATGGAAAAGGTTTAATTTGAAATGGAAAAGGTTGAATTTGACTTGGAAAAAGTTTAATTTGATTTGGAAAAGGTTGAATTTGACTTGGAAAAGGTTGAAATTGACTTGGAAATGCTATATATTCGTTCACACTTTCTTTACCAATCGTCGGAACATAAATTTCTTTCCTCCCCACCTTTGCGTTTGCGTCATCTTCAATTACTGGCCCAAAATATTTTTTTTCTTTATAAAGTTTTTCCTGAATTTCTTCGGGAACAAAATTCGTGTAGGAGAATTGAAAGGAATTTAAATTAAGATTTTTGAGAAAGTTTCATCGAAATCGAATTTTAAGCCGTATTGGCGCTAAAGTCTATGGTAAAAGATGTTTTCTCTTATTGCACAGCGAGCGCCTGAGTTGTTTCAATGGCATTCAAAACCATACAAAACAAAAAATAAGAAACATAAACGGTCCAATCGTTTCGGAGATAATTTTGGTGCACAGATTGCAGAAGATGAGTTTTTCTGACTCAAGAAGAAACGTAAAGAACCTTTGAAAATCGCCTATCCGAAATTTTACTCGATTACAATACATTAATTACCTGTAATAGCAGCAGCAAAGTAAAAATAGTGTTGGGATACCCAGTAGAGTATTTCGAAGCTTGCGCAAGTAATGTTAGTCTGCTTCGGAAGTTTGATCATAACCAATTTTAGATGCAAACGGACCTAATATTAAATCAGCAGAATCTAAATTGATCCTGTTAAAAAGATACATAGTTACCTGAATCATCAAAAGCAATATAGAGTAAGAACACAAACTGAGACTGATCCAAATAATCAATGAAGTTGGCCCTATTTGTCAACTGGTGGCCAGCATGCTGTCAACTTGAGCAAACATACAGTGAGAGTTTGAAGAAATTTTACTGGGGCACTTTTTAGGTCATCAACAATTATAGGATGTATGCTTTTTAAAGTTGTTTGTGTCCTATGTAGATAATTGGACCCAATGTTTGTCTCATACAATGTGAATCTCCTTAAGTCCAAATGTTTTGATTGAGGGACTAACTTATTATTTTATATTTAATTAAAAATTACTCATAGCAATTAATTTTATATTTTTCTGTTTGATATCAATTTTTGATAACTATTGTTTAATAAGTACCACATC